GGACGGCCACCCCTCTCCCCCTGGCCGGCCCGGGGCGGTTCTGGATGCTCAGCCTTGGTCGGGCAGGGCTCCCCGGCTCCCCTGTGGGTGCACCAGCCGGCCCGGCCCTGCGCCTGCGGACTAGCCGCCGAGGAGGCTCTCACCCGGCTGACAGCGGTCTCCCTCCCGGGAAACCTGTCTGGGGTTGTTTGTTGAGGACTCCCCACCTTTAAAAGCGATTCCTGTGAGATATCAGGTGTCTTTTTTTTTTTTTTCTTTCCTAGTGCCATTTGATCTCACAGACGGAATTCAAAACTGGGCCAGTTGGTGAAGAGGGTTGATGTGCTGTAGACGCAGGAACATATTATCTACAGGTAAATTGGAAGGCTGCTGGTTGTCGGTTTGCTGTGTTCATCTGAGTCCTTCCTTGTAAGCATATTTACAATCGACTTCCGGATCTGGCAGGCGGTATGGGGCTTTCCATTCGAGCTAAGAAACTCGGAATGGGTAAGGTGAGCGAGCTCCTAGTATGTTTTAAGGGTAATAAGTCAGTTCCACGTGTGCATACCCCTGTTCCTTTGTGTGTAATTGTTTGCAGCCTACATAGCACTCAGTTTACTGAACTGCTGTATCTCACAAAGGTGTCCAGAGTAGCTTGCAAGAAGAACATTAGTACGCTGGTCACTCTTGCAGCAGAGATTCCGCTGAACTAGTTCCTAAAATTCTCATCTTTCGGCAGGAATGTCTCTCTTGGGACTCCAGTGTGCTTCATTAGTGAAAGATGAATTGAACCAACACACAAGCCATGTAGTTTTGTAATTCCCCACTCCCTGCATTTTGAAGGTGTTTAAACAGCCTGAATGAATAATTTCTAAACTTCTTAGCCATGTTGTTATACCAGCCCCCACTTTCTTCCAGCATTGGACCATAGCAGAGAACTGTACCTGCTGCCTTCACCCCTGGCTGGTAGCCTCCTTGCCAGGGCCAGCCAGAGACTGTATCCTGAACACCGATCTTATCAGTGGTAGTTCTCTTCCTGGTAACACAACAGTCCACACCTGCGGACTCTGAGGGCATTTCCGCTGATAGTTGGGCTTCCTTTTTCTTCTTGTCCCAGTCAGTCTGTGTGTGTGTGTGTGTGTGTGTGTGTGTGTGTGTGTGCTCACGAGTGCGTGCGAGTGTGCACTGGGGGGCAAGCTTTGAGTTTCATTTCTCAGGAAGGCCATCCATTTGATTTGGAGGCAAAGTCTCTCCTTGAGCCTGGAGCTCAGATTAGGCTAGGTTTATGGACAGAGAGCCCCAGTGCTAGGATTACAAGTGTGTGCCTGCCCCACCACATCTGACCTTTTTATATGGGTTCTGGGGATGGAATTCAGCTCTGAGCTATCTCCTCAGACTAGACTGCATACTCCAGTGTACCCTCTGTTACCATGAGCCAAATTCAGCTGCAGTGGTTTAAGCAGCTCCTCTCTTAGTCCTGCTCAAGTTTCCCTGGTTCTGGGACACTTAATAAACAAACTGTACATAGGATATTTCAGGACTGTAGTTATGCTAGACTTCAGACTGAAAATTTCTTAGAGAAAAAAAGAAGTGCTCAGCTTTAGGTTTCAAGGCTATAGGAACTTTGTTGACTTGATGTGGCAAAATAAAACCACTGTCCCAGATCATCACCTTTTCCTTCTGTTTTCACAAAGCATGAGGCCTGTTATTTCAGAGAAAGCTTGCATGTGCTCCTGAGAATGAATTTTGTAGGTTCATTTGCATAGTGCAGCTCAGAGGCTGTGTGGTTGGAGGAGCCTGCCTTGGAATGTGCCCTGTGAGTGAAGGGGGCAAGGAGCGGAGCCAGGTAGACTGTTATTAGTGTAGGGAGAGTTCACTTACATTAGAGGAGGGTTCTGGGAGTGCTGTGTGTGAGAGCATGGGAGGGGGGAAGAACAAGAGTGGAGACTCTGGACACCTACAGGTGACAGAGGCTTGCACTGAAGGACAGAGGGACAAGGCAGAACCCGCAGGACTTGGGTTGAGTGTAGCCGGCAGGCCAGGGGAATGAAGAGTCTAGAGCAACATGTCTGGCCAACTGAGGGGCCACTTTCTGAACTGGGAAAATGAGGGAAGAGTGTGCTGAGTGGATGGAATTCAGAGTTTAGGTTTTTTGTTTTTTTTGTTTTTTGTTTTTTAAGAAAAGTGTTAATTTGGGTATAATTTGCAGACTGCAGAATTCACCAGGTGTATAATTCAGTGATTTTCAGTAGATTCACAGAGTTGAGCAGTGATTGCCATAACCACATTTTGGTGACCTTATCTGTTTCTGGTCTACCTCAGGCAACCACTGACCTGCTTACCGTCATGAGAGACTTGCACACCTCAGGTGTTTCGAGCAAATGAAGTCATATAAGCTGTGATCTTGCTTGGCTGGTTATTTGCACTAGGCTTCTGTTTCCTTCCTCTCCCCTGCACCCTGCAGCACCTCAGGCTCTCCTTCCCCCAGTCTACCTATGTCTGTCTGTCATGAGCCTCAAGATCTCACACATCTTAGGTCTGTCTGTCACGCACAGCAAATCTGAGGTTAATCTTGAACCCCTAATTCACCTACCTCACTGCCAGGTGCTGTGATTATAGGCACAGAGTCAGGTCGATAGGCTCATAAGTACTTTTCCCTCCCGAGCCATCTAGCTGGCCCTCTTACTTGGTTTTTGTGGAGATTTCCAGTCCTCTAGTCTAGTAGAGGATTGAATTGCTAAGTGGACCTTTCAGGTTTGTGATGGGAGGGACCTTCTGCATTCAGAATTACCAGCCAGCAGTAGGATGTAATTTTGCTAGTTTCTCTACTAAAATTGATTCTATCCATCAGGCAGGTCCTAGTATCCTTGCTTTTTTCTGCCCAGTGCACTTGTGTCCCTCAGAATCTATGAGGACGGGAGCTCATTATCTTTATTTACCTCTAGGCCTAGCCTAGGGGCCTTGGTAAATATTTGAATTGGATTGCCTAGTGAGCTTGTGGACACAGATCTCTCAAGCTGAGTTGGGAAGGATTTCCGCCTGGAGCGGCTCCCTCATGTAATTTCTGATTTTGCATTTAGATCCCTCCATCGGTGTGAGAGGGTAAGATGGACCCAGAAGAGCAGGAGCTGCTAAACGATTACAGATACAGAAGTTACTCCTCGGTCATCGAAAAGGCTTTAAGAAACTTCGAGTCCTCCAGTGAATGGGCAGATCTTATATCTTCACTTGGCAAGCTCAACAAGGTACAGGGCATTTCCTGTTTGGAAGGTGTGCGGTGGGGCTGTGGGGGCGGGGCCATCTTTTTATTGTGGTAAGGAATTTGTGAAGGTTAGCACAACTAGAAAAACAGAAAAGAAAGGACATCCAGTGGTTGTGTAGCTCACACTTACCATGCTTAGACCATGTCACGCATGCAACAGTTCCAGCACCTGCCCGGCACAGAATCTATTGTGTTGGTTTTTTTATAGCGTTGACACAGGTGGAGTGGCCTCTTCTATTTTTCTTTTCTTTGTTTTTTTTTTTTTGACACACGGTTTCTCTGTGTAGCCCTGGCTGTCCTGAAATTCACTCTGTAGAACAAGCTGGCCTCGAACTCAGAGAGCCACCTGCCCCTGCCTTCAAGTGCTGGGATTACAGGTGTGTCCCCCACTTGTGAGTGGCCTTTTCTTCACGAGTCTGTGTACTGATAATTTAAAATTGTCAGCCCAGTTATTCAAAGGTTACTCTGTCTGCTCCTGCTGGGCATTTTGCGTTTCTTTTGTGCTCTAATTTTTGGGCCCTTTCTTTGCTGAATGGTAACTTCTAGAAGAATAGCAAGCAAACTAATTGTGTGAGTGTGTGTGAGTGTGTGTATGTGAGTATGAGAGTGTGAGTGTGAGTGTGTGTATGTGAGTGTGAGTGTGTGTGTATGTGTGTGTGAGTGTGTGTGTGTGAGTGTGTGTATGGGAGTGTGAGTGTGAGTGTGTATGTGTGTGAGTGTGTGTATGGGAGTGTGAGTGTGTGTGTGAGTGTGTGTATGTGAGTGTGTGTGTGCGCAGCGCTGTGTGTGTGAGTGTGTGTGTGTGAGTGTGAGTGTGTGTGTATGTGTGTGTGAGTGTGTGTGTGTGAGTGTGTGTGTGTGAGTGTGAGTGTGTGTGTTTTGGTGTGGAGAAAAGGTTGTGGTCTGGGAAGATGCAAGAGGATCAGATGGCACTTCAGCTGTCTCTGTGACTTTCCTGTTCCGCCCAAAGGGAAGACACTGTAGGGATTCTTAGTCACCCAGTGGCCATTGTGGTCACAGTAGAGAACCCTCTCTTGCTGTTTGGGCAGCACTTGGGTTTGTAGTATAAGTATCAGATGGGAATTCGAGGATCTCATTTCTACAGGACAAGGAACCCCAGAAAACCCCACTGAGCAGAGAGAGCCTCCTTGTGTCTTTCCCAGGAACAGGGCAGGGCAGGGGTGGAGGGTGGGGGGTGGGGGGTGTGGCAAGACTGAGGCAGGAACCCTGGAGAAGCAGCTGAGTCTCCCTTCCCACATACCCACCTCAGCACCCTCACTCTGAGACCAGAAAGCAGCTCCCAAAGCGCTTGTCTGGCATGTCTAGGGCCCTGGGCTCAGTTCCCAGCATAGGATGGGGGTGGGGCAAACAGTTCAGCCTGGCAGATGGCTCTCGGGCTTGGTGAGATAGGAGGTTGCAGCTGATTGGCCAGGAAATGCCTGGTTTCCTGCAAGGCACATTCACTTGGAAATGTCACAATCAGGTAGGTGCTCAATAGGAAAGACACATTTACACTGAGGGTTTTAGGATACTGGAGCCTGAGGTTCCTTGGTTGGACAGCCCCAGCCAAGGAACCCTTGGGGAAGAAGGAAGGTAGCACTTAGGGACTCCTGAGGCCTGCTAATGAGGGGAAGGGAGGAGGAGCAGGAGATGAGGGGTGCTGTGCTGCTCAGCACCTGACTCTCCTGGTGTCTGCACACCCACCGCACCGGGGTCAGCACAGGGACACACAAGACCAGGAGCCCAGCTCAAGCACAGGGTGAATCAAGGCCCGCCGGGGCCATTGCGGGCGGGCGTCTCAAAAACAGACAAAAGGGAAGACAGTAAGAACATTGTGGGGTGAGAGAGAGAGAGAGAGAGAGAGAGAGAGAGAGAGAGAGAGTGCGCGTGAGTGTGCGTGCATGTGCGTGTGCACATGCGTATACACGTATTGGTCCATGTGTGTGCTACAGTTTATATAGAGATCGCAGGACAAATTGAAGGAGTCGGTTCTTTCCTTTTACCACATGAGTCCTGAGGTCACCGGGTTTGGAGCTGAGCATCTTTACTGAGCTGTCTCTCGAGTCCTCGCAGTATGTGTGTCTCTGTGTGTGAGTGTTCTGCCAGCATAAACATGTGGACACCATGTACGTGTCGAGACGCCGTGCCAGCTGGAGTGGCTGGTCACATTGCATCTGCATTTTAGAAGCAGAGAGAGCTGAACACTGGTTTTCAGTTCCTTTTCTCCTTATTTAGTCCAGGACTTCAGAGTAGGGAATGGAAACCGCCCACGTTTAGTGCGGCTCTTCCCTCAGTTATCTTATTCTAGAAGCTCACACAGATGTGACCAGAGGTCTGACTGTCAGTTGACAGTATTAACCATCACATCTTGTAGAGCTAATGCTTGCATAGCAGTCTGAAAGAAATGTGTTTCTTTCATTTATTTATTTGTTTGTTTGTTAGTTGTTTTAAGACAAGGTTTCTCTGTGTAGCTTTGTAGACCAGGCTGGCCTTGAACTCAGAGATCCGCCTGCCTCTGTCTCCCGAGTGCTGGGATTAAAGGCGTGCGCCACCACTGCCCGGCTCAGAATGTGTTTTATTAACTGACTCTATGACAGGAAAGCCACAGTGACACTCTTGGGTGCATTTCAGGTGAGAGAACTGAAGCCTGGAGAGCTAATCTATTGCTGCGGGTACAGCTAAGGCCCCCTGCGCTTTGTCTTCCTGCTATATTCCTGGTATCCAGGGCTGTCCTGGGTGCTGGGGGGACAGTCTTGGATGCTTTGAAGGGTTTGATTCCTCAGGAAAACCTGTAGCCAACATTACTTTTGTTGCTTGTCCTGGTGTTGTGGGAAACAGAATGACTCCAGTAAGAGTGAGCAAATTCTGAGACAGAGTGAAAGGGCTCCACTGTAAACAAGCCTGGCCCAGGTTTGCAGCACTGTGTGAGACGGGCAGATTCCAGTACTCTACAGGACTGGTACAAACTGAGTCATTCATCCCTTCTGGATGAAGCTCCTACACCTGTTCCTTAGGGTTATTCCCTGGTGTGATGTGGTGCTGCCCTGGGTAAAGGTTTTATTTAAAAGGTCACTGATTGCTAAGAGTTTACCCAAGAAATCCCACCTGTCATTTGGGCAGTATAGCTTGATGCTGCTGCCGTCATTGCTAGTGGAAGGTTCAGGAATTTCCTCTTTTTTTTCATCACTGCTGCTGTTTTGGGTTGTCTCCTCCCCCCCCCCCTCCTCCTCCCCCTCCTCCTCCTCCTCCTCCATCACCTCCTCCTCCTCCTCCTCCTCCTCCTCCTCCATCACCTCCTTCTCCTCCTCCTCCTCCTCCATCACCTCCTCGCCAGCACCGCCTACTCTCCCCCCCTGGCCCCTGTGGAAAACAAGGTCTCACGTTCCACGGTTGGTGTGGCACTTGCCTCTCTGCGACCCCGACCCTCCACCCCGTGATGGTGCATCGTGTGTGTGGTGATAGGATTGAACCCAGGGCTGTATGCGTATGAGACCATGAAGCTGCAGCCCTATGTTTCTTGTTCTCTCCTGCTGTGACTAGGCAGTGGGTCAGAGCAGACTAAAGGGTTTGCAAGACTTCAATGGGACACGGGTGCCAGGTCAGACTCCATCCTGAACTTTGCCTTCAATAACTGACATTCACTGAGAACTTACTGTGTGTTAAGACCCACTGTGCTATGTTGTTTAGTGTCTGCAACATGCCCCAGGCCTGGTGGTGTTGGATGCCCTTCTAGCTACTGGGAGGCTAAGAAAGGACTGCAGCAAATACAAGGCCTGTCTGGGCTACAGAGTGAGTTCAAGGCCAGCGTGGGCAAGTTAGCAAGACCCTGTCTCAAAATAAAACATAAAAAGAGAGTTTAAGATACAACTCTGAGTTGAAACTCTTGCCTAACATGTGAGGCTGTAGGTTCAATCCCCAGTACTGTAGCATAAAATAAATAGAATAGAATAGAAAGATACTTGTCAAATAGCTTGACACCCAGCTCTGACCATGCTTCTCCACAGGCTCAGCTGGTGTGACTGACCCTAGAGCTATGCTGTTGTTAGGCTCTCCCACGTTTTCCTGCCAGTGTCTATGCAGTTCATGTATGGAGAATAGGCTGTGCCTATACCCTATTGCCCAAATGAGGCCAGTGCGATTTTGTTGCCACGGGCTGTTAACTAGCTTGTTCAGACCAAGTAACCTACATCCTGCAGATGTGTATGCGGGTCCCAGAGTGTCCAGTGTCTTCCCAACCCTGAGCAGCCAAGCCAGCACTCTTCTCTCCTGCTGCCTGGGCCTGGAGAAGGGAGGTAATGAGATGCCCCTCCCAGCCATAGGATTTGGGGACTGTCTCTTCACCTCTAACTCTCCATTGCTAGCACGTGGCACCTCTGCTGGAGCTGTGGTTTTAGCCTCTTGCTCACAACCATCTAATGTTCTTCACCAGTAGTGATCAGCTCAAACCCCTCGTTCCAGTGTGTGGCAGCAGCTGCTGAATTCTGGTGTGTTGTGTTCATTCAGGGGTTCAGATGACATCATGGCCGTGATCCCAGATTACTGGGGCCTTGCTGAGACTCTGAGGACATCGGTGACTCAGCTCCCAGTGTGAGCTTCTCAAACACAACAAGGTTGAGGGTTTTTTTGTTTTGTTTTGAGAAGAGCTTTCCATCTGCCTAAGAGTTGGTTACACTTTCCAATAATTTGTGACCGGGATAGCCAATTTATTTTGTGTTTGAGTGAAAGAATTTGTTTGTAGTTTATCCTTTATAGTCTGCTGGAGGGATGGCAGTCAGCCAGGTTCACACAGGCAGTTAACCTTCCAGGGACCAATAACTAAATGACAGCAGTGTGTCATCCAGCAGAATGGAGTTCAGGGTCCAGGAAAGAAATAGTGGCCCATTCATTACCTTGCTCGGTCTAGAAAGTGACGCTGAACTCTCCCCACATGGACAGAAGTATCTTGAAGACTCAACCCCTAAGTGACTCTGGAGAAAGTGTCAT